CCTGAAGTTGAATGCACTGCTTGTGTTAGCCACTTTTTCTGCCCTGGCCATTTCAGCCCCAATGGTTAACTTAGATCATGGAGATGGAAATAAAAACAACCCACATCCTATATGTTGACACACACACAAAATGAACAAGTGACTTCAGGGCAATGAGAATCCCCTCCCCTAGGCTGAGAGCTCAGTGCTGCCCACTAGGCGTCCTTTCGCGGGGAAATGTCTCTTTCCCGGGCTGCTGCAGACGTGTCCGAGGCGCAAATGTGCCAAGCGCAGATCAGAAACAGATTTCCACCCCTCTACATGCATTGAAATCAATCCAGTGAATTGCCTTTTAAAATCAAAGCCAAATGCTCATCGCTTCGGATCCCTTTGGTGCTTGACAAAGATCTGGTTCCTGTCCGTGTTGCAGGTATAATTACCCCCACACCGTGCTTTTCAACCTGAAATAAACTATAGTACGCATCGCGTATCTTTTGACATTTAAGTGGCTCGTGCACATTCACCATTTTTCTTACCCGTTCTGCAGCGTATCACTTTTTCATTCCGGATCCCTCATAAACAATCGATTGCGTTGCTCCTTTATATGCACAGGGTACACGTGCAGAAAGACAATAAACAGAACACCCCAGTGACTATCTATTAACGCCCATTGGGACCCCGTAGCACATCAGTGGGGCATACTTGAAGGCTTGTATAAAATTGGGAATAGTATAATAATCATGCAATTATAATTATTGAACTGAGAATCAAGAACATTCTGAATTAAAAGTCTGTTCCCCCTCCCCCTTTGCTGTGTCCAGATATTACAGAACTACTCGGTAATGATTTCTTCAGACTTTAAATACCAATGTGTGCCAGGGCACAGCACAGTGGTTAGAGGAGATTTTTTGACTTAATTCTTGCTCCACTCCAGCTCTGCAGAGCTATAGCTTTGTTTCACGTTTTGGTATTTCCAGGGTTCACATTCTCAGGGTATAAGATCAGCATCAGCATAAAGAGATGCCCAGTTAATTGCGTCATGCCCTGTGCAAACTTGACAACTCCGGTTACTGGTGGGTAGGTGAGATGGCGTCTAACCCCTTTGTCTAATCAAAATGGGGAGGGGGTGTAGCGGGGGCGGGAGGGGACGGGAGTGGGGTGGGGAGCTGCACGATTGAAAATGACAAGAACGCCTATGTTCATTTGCTCATGCATTGCTCAAAATAAAACCAAACACACTGCATCCAGTCCCATCCGCTCATCTGACAGTAACCTCTAGATCCTGTTTCCATTAGGGAATCGATACAAATAATCTTAGCACATTTTCTTGTAATGGTTCATGCGCCCTAATGCAAAAGGTGGTTTTTTAAAAAAAATCCGTTCCCTGTATATTATTAACCTATTTGCATGTAAATTGCGAAACATAAACAAACAGCTCCGGCAATGGGAATTTGCTGATCTCATTTATCTGCCACATACATCCAATTTCAGAAAATGTATCCAAAGAGATTTTAAAAGGCCCCAGCATCAGATAAACCCCTCCCTTGATTGGTGATTAGCCGCTGGAATAATAGCTGTATGCAATGCTTGGACCCGTTACCAGATTATCTATGTTCCTTTCTGCATGATCGGAATTCTTAAAGAAAGTTAAAATCCTTGCTCTATCCTCTCTTTAATCCCTTCAATATATTTCGCGTAGTGTAGGTTTCACTTCCTTTGTTGGTATAAGATTACTCTTGAATTGCAGCGAAAATCCCTCCTTTCAAAAGCATTACAAAGTTGACATTTCCTTTCTCAATACAAGCCAATATTTAGATTACATGGACGTTAATCAAATAACCCGGGTTATTTCATTTGTCAACATGTTCACAAGAATTTTCTACCAGGCGTTAAAGGCATTTATAGGGAACGACATCTTTCAAAAGCAATGTTGCTAGCCCAGATATAGGGAATATTTGATCATGACAAGACAGCTGATGGTTATATTTTACATACCAGCTGTTTCAGAAATCGTTCGATACCCCAAATAGATCCATAATTTCTTTCTTGTGAGTGCCTCCTATGAGGCAAAGATTGTTTTATTGTAAAACATTTTTTACCATCAGACCCGAAGTGTCCACAGTCTCTAGAATAGCCCTGTAAATCAGAGCATTCAGTCAGAGATTGCGGGAGACTGATTCACAGGACATTTTTAAGAAACACCCAAACGAACCCCCTTTTCCAAGTCCCATCCAGAGGAATTGAGCAGCGTTTTTAGTACCTAGTATCCCACAAGAGTTAACTATTTAATAAACACCTGCTTTCTAACCCCCTTAATTTTCTGCAGACTGGAAGAGGTGTGTGCCTAGGACACAGTCTAACCAGTGCAGGACTGGGAAAAGCAATGGCACCAGGGGAGATGTGACAGCACACCCCAGAGCTGCTCTGGAAGGCTGGTATGCTGGCATCCTGTAATATACAAAGGCTACTCCTGACGGCATTCTGCGCAAAAAAAAAAAAAAAAAATTCTCCACACAATATTTTGAAATTCTGCAAAATTCTGCAAATTGTATTTGTCAAATAAATGTGGAGGCTCCAGCACGGCATTGGGGAGCACAGGCCACTGGCTGCACAAAGGTGGGAGATCACTGTGCAGCTCCCCCCGGGGATGCGGACTCAGCGGTGAGGCTGCACCCAACCCTGACACAGTGCAAGGACTGGGCCTGCCCCAGAAACACCCCAAGGCCCTGCCCCTCTGTACCAGGTGCACCAGGTGTGGGCAGGCAGGCTCAGCAAGGCAGGATCCAAGTGTGGGGGGATCCAGGTGTGGGTTGAGAGGGTTCTGTGTGGGGCAATCTGGGTGCAGGAGGCTCAGTGAGGGATCTGGGTGCGGGGGGATCTGGATGCAGAGGGGCTTGTTGGGGGGTTCTGGGTGCAGTGGTAATGGGACTCTGCAGGGGGGTCCGAGTGGAGGTGGTTGGGGATCAGCAGGGGGTCATCTGGGTGTGGGGGAGATAGAGCTCAGCAGGGGGTCTGGGTGTGGGGGGCTCAGTGGGAGGGTCCAGATGCAGCTGGTTGGGGCTCGGTGGAGTGGGGATCCAGGTGCGGGTGGCTCGTCGGGGTGATCCAGGTGCAGGGGGAGTGGGGCTCATTGGAGGGGGGGTCTGAGTGCAGGGGAGGAGGGTCTGGGTATGAGGGGGTCTGGAGGCACAGGGGTTGGGTGGATGTGGGAACAGTTCCCTGTACAAGGATCCCTCCCCCTGCAGCTGAGGAGCAATGAGTGCAGGAAGCGGATGGTAGTGGGGAAGTTTGCAGAGCTTCCTTCAGCTGAGGGAGAAATTTAGGGTGAGTTTGACCTGGCCATGGATGCTGTGCAAGGGAAGAGGCAGTCCCGGCCTCCCCAGCTCAGCTGGGACTAGCAGCTGAGCACAGCGCAGGATAAGAGCCACCAGCTGTGTCTTCCCCAGTCCCGCCTCCTGCACCATAGTGATTTATCTCTTTGCCAGCTGCCCTGGGCCCCCAAAACATACTGCTGGGGAGGGTTGCATGATTGCTCTTGTGGTTTCCCTTTGGTTCTCCGACAGAAAGTCATTTTTCTGCGGGGAAGCAAAGAAATCTGTGAGGGACATAAATTCTGTGCATGTGCAGTGGTGCAGAATTCCCCCAGGAGTAAAAGGCTCTTGGGGGAGAGTTTCCTTGGAGAAGGGGGGCAGGTAGGGGAGTCTAGTTCCTGGGGGGAGAGGTGGGTCTCCAGGGGGTGTCTCTTGGGAGAAGGAGGGGGGACCTGAGGGAAGGCATTTCTGGTGAGAAGGCTGCAGTGTTCCTGGGAAGGGGCATATGGGGGAGAAATCCCTAGCTCATGGGAGTGTTTCTGGGGCAGGGATTCTCAGCGGGGTGTGGTATTGGGGAGGGTGAGTCCCGGGATTCCAGTGGGATCAGACCAGGAAGGGGCTCGGAGGACCTCCATGCTTATCAAACTCCTTGAGATGATGATAGTGCCAGGCTACCAGCTGCAGTGATCACTCCTTGGGAAGTATCTGTCTGTCCCCGGTGGCCCTGCGTCTGTCCGGAGACTGTAGAGGGGACCTCGCCTCCCGCACAAAGACAATCAGAGAGGGCGGGGGGGGAATTGAGGCGGGGAGGGGCTGTGATGAGTGAGGGTGGATTCGGGGGGCGAGGGCGGGATGCTGTGGGAGTGGAGATGGGGCACAGGGGAGGGGCACAGGTGGTGATGGGGAGCACAGTGACTGGGTCATGGGGATGGGGGGGGCAACGCGGCAGGAGGAGGCTGGGAGCACGGCAGAGCATAGGCAGTGGGGAAGATGGAAACCACAGATGGGGGTAGGAAGAGATTTAGGGAAGCAGAAGATGGGACCTGTGGGGCACGGGGGGCGAGGTGGGAGGGGGATTTGCCCTGGGAGTGGGTAGGGTGACCAGACAGCAAATGTGAAAAATCGGGACTGGGGTGGGGGGTAATGGGAGCCTATATAAGAAAAAGACCCCAAAATCGGGACTGTCCCTATAAAATTGGGACATCTGGTCACCCTATGAGTGGGGAGGTGGGGACCATGGGGAGGGTGGGCGATGTGCCGGGGGAAAGCAGGTGGGAACAGGGGGAAAGTGAGGTGTGTGCCTGGGGGCGGGGCTGTGCCGTGCCGTGTGTGTGTGTACAGGGGAGTGTAGTGCAGGGGGCGGATGCAGCGAAGGGAGGGGGCGAAGGTGTGTGCCGTAGGGGGGCGGGTGCAGGGGACTTGTGGGTGGAGCTGTGTCGTGGGGGGCGGTCCCAGGAGGGAGGGGGAGCAGGTGGTGTGCAGTAGGAGGGGCGGGTGCAGGAGAGAGGGGCCGGAACCAGGGCGGGCGCAGGGGCGGGCAGGGCTGGTGCTGTCACGCCGCTGAGTGCCGCCAGCCCGGCGCAGGGCGAGCGAGGGGCAGGCACCGCAGGCTGGAGCCGCCGCCCGGAGCGCACGGCGCTGGCTCTGGCCCCTCGCCCGGCAGCCCCGCTCCACCCAGCTCCCCCAGGCGCGCTGCGGGCCGGGGCCGTGGGGCTCCCCGCTCCGGCTGGGACTGCAGCCGGGATGCGCTGCTGAGTGGCAGCCCTGCGAGGGCAGCGCCTGCCCGCTCCCCCTCGGAACGGCAGCGGCAGCCGGTAAGCGAGCGGCCGGAGGGGGCAGATGGGCGGGCGGCAGCCCCCGGCCAGGCGCTGCGCTCCGGGCTCCCCGCGGGGCATGGCGGCGTGTGTCCGTGCCTGGCGGGGTCCGCGGGGGTCCGGGTCCCTTCCCGCGACCACCCGCTGGCAGTGCCCCATGGGATGGGCGGCTTAGGGCGCGTGCGAAGCAGCTGCCCAGCAGGCGAGCGGCAGGGATCAGCCTCCGGAGCCTGCCCCTGGGACACCTGGCCGGGGGTGGTCTCACTCGCTGCCGGCGCTGGAGGGGGCAGCTGGCTGGGGCTCGCATGGCTGGAGGCAGCGTCCCGGCTGAGCAGCCAGAGCATCAGGGAATCTAGGGCGAACTCCCCCCGCACCTGGGACTGCGGGATCAGGAGGGGTTTGGTGCCGCTTCCTTGAGGGACTGACCCTGGTCTTCCAGGAGGGTTGGGAAGGGCTGTGTGCAGCGTGTGAACGAGCCCTGCCTCCCTGCACTGAGCAGGGGCAGGGAAGGAAAGGGCCAGAGGGCTGCTCTTCTGAAGCATTCCTGGACCCAGACTTTTCCCCTCGCTTGGCCTTTCCTTGGAATTGCCCGTTTAAGTCATCTAAGGAAAGAGTGTGTGTGTGTGTGGGGGGGGAACTCCCTGCATTTCAGATAAGATCTCAACAGGGGCCGATGTGTGTGACTTGTGGGGAGCAGGGGAAATGATCAGAGAAGGACGATCAACTTAGCTCACCTCCCTTACACTTGGGAGTGTTTTTTTCAGAGCTTCGTGCTTCTTTTATAGCACATCTCTCTGTGCAAACAAGATCTCCTCTCGCAGGGCAGAAAGAAGACACTTTGGGAAAGTTACCCACAAAGACAGCCTATCTTAACTCCCTCCCTCCATGAATCTTTAGCCAACTCTCATTCTCTCTCGCCCCCACCCCGCAGCAGGCTGACAGTTTTCTAGTCGAGCCGTTTAAGTAATCATTTCCCCTTGTTTTTTCTTGTCACCCTTAGGACCACAATAGCTCATCAAACACTATCTGGAGACCTTCAAAACAAAAGGATCATGGTTTAGACACTTGTATCTAGGGACTAATTGCCATTTAATATTGGTGAACTTTCTTTGGCATAGGCTTCAGAGTGGTAGCATGTTAGTCTGTATCAGCAAAAACAACAAGGGGTCCTTGTGGATGGGGGTTGCTTTACCAAGTGTGAGGTCAGTCTAACGAGATAAATCTCTTACCACTTCAAAAGTTATTTTTCCTCCCTTGGTATCCTGCTGTTAATTGATTTATCTTGTTAGACTGACCTCACACTTGGTAAAGCAACCCCCAGCCTTTCATGTATTTATACCTGCTCCTGTATTTTTCACTTCATGCATCGGATGAAGTGTGTTCTAGCCCACGAAAGCTTATGCCCAAATAAATTTGTTAGTCTGTGAGGTGCTACAAGGACTCCTTGTCGTTTTCTTTGGCATAGGTCAACAATACTTCCTATTAAATCTGATTCAATCCATTTAGCAAAAATCTCTTGTCCAACTAAATAAGAATCTGTTTCCATTGTCAATTAAAAAAACCCATTAAATCTGCTAATCCTTCCATGGAAGAGTTTACTTGGTAGAAAAGAGTGTGGTATGGGTGTTTGAAACATTTGAATAATATCTTCTGTTATCAAACATGCACTGCTTGAAATGGCAGGTTTCAGAGTAGCAGCCGTGTTAGTCTGTATCCGCAAAAAGAACAGGAGTACTTGTGGCACCTTAGAGACTAACAAATTTATTAGAGCATAAGCTTTCGTGGGCTACAACCCACTTCTTCGGATGCTTGAAATGGATGTCAATAGACATTTGATGGAGGGAATTTAAAGCTGATTCTTACTGTCTCAGTTGTCAAAAAAAAAATCAGTTACAATTGTAGTTAATGCAGTATTTGAATATGAGCTATCACTCAGGAAATATCCCTTATGTTCAGTCTTTTTTTCATAAAAATTGCTAAATATGGTGCTTGACAGCTTTGTCACCATTTAATAAAGATAATTGGTACCAGAGAAGGCGAGAGCGGGAGAGAGATTTTTCTCTAGGCAATATGAAGACTGTGAGAATAATATTGAGATTTTTTTGGTCAGTCTTTTGTGTGTGCAACTAAATCAAATTAAAAAACTGGATCATTAAGAGAAAATAGATTGGATTTAAGTGACTTACAGTATTTCAAGGCAATTAATATATGTTGCAAAATGGAACCAAAATCCTATAGAAAAAGAGGATTGAGCATTATTGCTATTACATGAATGCAAAGTCAAAATATACACTATTCTGCTAATTGAATGTAATATATTTTAAAAAGAGACAAGGAAAACATTAATTTTTAAAGAAAATGGCTAGCTAAAATCTTAGCATATTATATGTAGATTTTTTTATGTTTGTAATTATACTTTTGTTAATACAAGTACAATTATGTCCCCATGACCCTGTGATACACTGCTTATTTTACAAGTTATTTAGAATATCATGAGGGAAAAAGCTAATGTTGTATCATAAGTTATTTTAAGTCATATTCATAGCTTCTTGCAAAGAAATCTTTCATAGGAAAATAAAAGTTGTGCATCATAGTAATTTAAACTCAATATTTATCTTGTTCACCAAATCTTCACATTACATAGTAGTATTCACCTCAACCATCGCTTCAGACACCTAAAAGTGAGTGATGTTAGCTTTCAGATATCCCCCATCATAATCAGAAAACGAGAATCATTTATAATATTCAAAGTACATATGTATGCTAAGGATATAATACCTATGTATAGAACTTTCAAAAAGGAACAGATGCACAGCCAGCCCAATATTAATCCTGGTATCTTTGGTAGCTCTTGGTTATTAAAAATATTGTTCAACACAAATGTGGCTTAAAAATCTTGTAAACTGATAGGATGAAATTCCTTTTCATGTAAAAAAAAAAAGATGATTATAAAGTGGATTATAATTGCATGAATAGTGAAAGGAAATGATTTGTGAACATTTTCACCAGTTACAAATTTTGGTTGAATCTAATCTTGTTAGCACCATTTTTGTTCATTTTTTTCTCTGAATATTCATGAAACTGATTTTTGTTTGTGTGCATCTAGCTATTCATAGATTCCAAGGCTAGAAGGAACCATTGTGATTCTAGTCTGACATCCTGTATAAGGCGGGCAAGAGAAGTTCCCCAAAATAATTCCTAGAACAGACTAGATCTTTTAGAAAAATGCCCAATCTTGATTTAAAAATTGTCAGCGATAATCCTCCACCACCGTTGGTAAATTGTTCCAATGATTAATTACTCTCACTATTAAAAATGTACATCTTCGTTCCAGTCTGTTTGTCTAGTGAGTGAACGTACTTATCTGTGTGAGAGCAAGGATCTTGGTCCTGGAATGAAGCGCTCACCTTGCCTGCCCAGTATATACTTATTGTATTTGTTTGGGAGCAGGAGAATGAGAAAATCAGTGATCTTTTTCATGCAAACAGCTGAGCAATCCCTCAGCATGAGTAGCAATGAGAGGGGGAGTAGGGTGGGTGGTGGCAGGATTCGCAAACAGCAGACAGGTCCTTTTCCTGAAGACACTCTGCGCTTGTTCCTGGTACTACCCATATATATGGGCCAGTTAGACAGAGGAGAGTCAATGTTTGAGGAAAACCACTCTGTGGAATCGTGCAGATGGTCCTGGGACCATACAGTCATCTGCCTGATAGAATGCAAGCTACAAATAATGGTGGTGCATAGTAGTGAATTCACTCTGTGCAGCTGGCAAGTATACAAAGTGACTTGTGTTGCTGTATGTAGCTTTCCAAACTATGCTGGCCAGAGCCCTGGGACTCTCAATTAAGTGACTTAAGGAACTGTCTGTAACTTTCTCTCTCCCTCACCCCCTCCCCTCTCTCTGCCTGGGAATAAATCAAGGCTCTAGCTTTCTCTCTCCCTCAGCCAGAGAACTCCATAATTTTAAAAGCTAAGGTCCATGTATTTAGCCAGATTTTTTTTTTCATGTAAGAGGGGACAGAAAATATTTAAAATGCTAACAGACAATTCTTAGACCTGCTGTTTCCCCTCCCCGAGTGATCCAGCACCCCAAAGATGTAGTCAGGCAGTTGTGTTCATAAAGGTCGGGTTATCCCAGCTTAACAGGGTAACCAGAAACCAGACCAGGCAACTGAGGTGGCCAGGCACAGAGCTCAAATATTGAATTTCAGATACTCTGGACTACTTGCTTTGAATAGTTTGCAAACCACCAGAGACTCAAATACGTGCACAAAAAGCCTTCATCCTACACTTAGAAATAACAAACCAATTCATAAAATTCAAGATCTGTTAATAGACAATTCATGAAGGGTAACACTCAGCCTCATGCATGGGGCCAGCACAAAGCCAATGTGAAATCCCAGTTAAGCTCTATTTTGAGGTCTTAGGTGGTGCATAGGCCTTGGAATGAAAAGGGCCAAACCCAGTGAATAAATTGTTCCCATTTAATAGTTCAGTCAGCTCTAGCAGTAGTTGGCGGTCGGGGAAGAGACAACCATTCTGTACGCTGTGCTGGGTCAGTAAAATTCACTCTTTAAAAAGGCTGACCCTCTTTTTAAACCATGTAAAGATTCTACCTGGAGTTTTCTAAGGAACCAGAGGAAGTTAGGTGCCCAATTCCATTTGAAAGCCAATTGGAGTTGGGTGCCTCGCTCCTTAGGCTCTTTTCAAATCCCAGCCTTTCGAATTTATGGGCACGTTTCACTATTTGTACAGCGTCACAGGCAGTTCACCCAGGCGCACGTCGGTGCTGAGTCTCAGAAACGTCACTTCTGCGCTTCAGTGTGGGAGTTGCCCAGGTCTGATTCAGCAGATGAAATTGCTCCCTTGCGGTGATCCATGAGATCACCTTCATACTCTGCTCCAGGGTGGCGGCCCCTGCACCCTTTCCTGGGGAGATTCCACTTGACTGTGGGTCACTGTGCTGGGTATCTAGCCGAGATCTGATGGTTCATCCTAAT